GCCTGGGGCGACCGAATGGCGGGTCGAACCCGGCGTACCAATGCATGAGCTAAGAGGATTAATGCCGGCCGCCGAGGAGGGATTTGGCCCCCCTCACGCCCCATCCCAACCGACCATTTTGCAATGCGCCGGGTAGGGGCGGTGACTGGAGAAGCATGGATCTAATACATATAGGGCGGGCGGCCAGTGGGGAGTCCAGCGGCCCTGGGAGGTCTGCGGGAACATGGGCGGCGTGAGATGGGATAGAACGTCCCATGCGTCCGTTCTGAGCGGCCATGGATCTTGAGTTTTACCGTCTGGTGCAGAGAAACAACACGCTTACCACCTTGTAGGTCCTCGCAGAAGCCTCCTGCTCTTGTTCCTTCCAGTGTGTCAACGGGCATAACAATGGTTCATGAGCACGATTCCTGAGGTGGTTTTCAGCTGAACATCGTCCTACCTACCTTATTCAAGGTATCCATGGATGGTTTGGTGCATTAGCCAGTCGTGCCCCCTGCCGCCATACCTTGCACGAAAGTTGAACATCGGCCACTAGGTGTGCTTAGCTGTCTTGGGCAGATTCTCCGGTATCCGAGCGGATGGAAGTAAAGGGGCTTCCACACAGGCTACACACAGAAGAGCGACGTTTCACATTACATCGAGCTGGCCTCGGTCACAAGCAGGCGCTAGGAAAGGCTAGAGATGTGTTTGGAATTCCCAGGGCATACATCGGTCAGGGGGTGCCTGACAATGCCACTGCTAGACACACGCACCACAACCTAGCGTGTGGTCCTTCGTTTGCTGGAAACGGTCGACAGAGCCCCGGTTCGATTCATGGGGGACATGCCGGTATCTGGGGTAGTTGAGGCTTAACAAAAAGCATCTGCCGTTTGCCCGTAAACAAACGGGGCACACGAAGAGGTAGACCAACTCTGGTATACCTATCCGATGCCATCAGACGTCGGGCCGGTGGCGCTATTGGCCAGCTTCCGCCTCTCGGTTTTCCGGGCAGACACGAGGATGGCTGTAATTTATGCCTCGGCGCCTTGCATAATATTCTGTCTACGAAACATGTCTATGAGCCCGCCAGATGCACGCTAAACTCGACAAAGCCCCAAACGCCAAGAAATGCAGGCAAAGGTGCTGTAAGAAACAATATCACGCCTCGGAAGGTTGCAAGATGATATTGTCGATCAGCCTCACGGCCGGGCCCCCGCTATGACCGAGATCTTCTCCTTCTCGAGGAGCCTTAACGGGCAGCATCTTGACTGCGCCGCTGAGAATCCCCCCCTTTGCCGGGTCAACAACATCCAATTCCTCCATCGTGTCGGGATCGGCAAGCGAGATATAGTCGACCTCGAACTGCACCCTCTTCTCTGGCCCGAGGGCCATCTGCACCGCCGAAAACTCGTCAATGAACCTCTGCGTGGCGCCGAGCACAGCCTCCCGACCCTTCTCACCACTCTTATATCTCTCTTCGGCGGCCCGCAGCGACCTGTACAGCACAGTAGCCGCCGCCCTCCTCCGCTCCCCCAGATACACATTCCTCGAGCTCAGCGCGAGCCCGTCCTCAGCCCTCGCCGTCGGCCCCACAACGACCTCAATGGGCAGCATAAAATCTTTGACCAGCCTCTTGATCACCACCGTCTGCTGCACATCCTTCTGCCCAAAGTACACCCGCTCCGGCTGCACAATATTGAACAGCTTCATGCACACGGTCGCGACCCCGCGAAAAAAAGTCGGCCTCGACCTGCCCTCCAACACCTCCCCGACGGGCGTGACCGTGACAAAGCTGCCCTTGCTGTCCACCTCCTGGCCCGGAAACCCGCCTGGGTACATCTCGGCCGTGGCGGGCGCGAAGACGGCGCTGACGCGGCCCAGGTTGGCGCCGTCGTCGGCCAGCTCGCGGTCGAGCGCCGCCAGCGCGGCGCAGTCGGCGTCCCAGGTTACGGGATAGCTGGCCAGGTCCTCGCGCACGCCGAACTGGGCCGGGTTAACGTAGACGCTGACGACGACGTGGTGATTCTCGCGCGCCGCCGCGCGTATCAGCGACAGGTGGCCGCCGTGCAGGGCGCCCATGGTCGGCACCAGGGCCACGGACCGCTGGTCGAGCAGGTGCGGCCGGCGCCAGCGGCGGAGGGCGTCGACGGTGCGGAGGACGCGGATGGAGGACGAGGGGAGCTTTTCGGGGCCGCCTCTCCTTTGGGGGGAGGAGCAGTGGGTGGCCATTGCGCGCGAGATCGTAAGTTGCTGGAGTCGGGGTGGGTGAGCCTCGGTGCGAGGTTGGGGTCGGCTCGGGGGGAGGCAGAGGCAGAGGCAGCCAGGCAATGGAGCACGCGAGCGGGCGAGGATGCTGATGGCGGGGCGGGTTGCCTGCCGGAGGAGGGGCAGCGTTGGCCGCATTGGACCGGCAGGTCGCGGCAAAAACGGGGTGGTATTCCAAAATCGAGTGCGAAGTATGTCTGGAGAAGAGGCCCATGAGTATGGCGCAATCCGCGTGGCTACGATTGGATCTGATTTATAAGAGGCACATGCTGTGATGGTTTCTGCAGCGGAGTTTTGAACATGCCGGGGATCGACCAGGGTTGCGCCAAATTGCGCAGGGGATTTGTTCGGCCATTTTTTGGCAGCCAGGGTCTCCGTGCCAAGCCATCGGCCGACAGGGTTTGTCGGCTCAACGACCGTGACAGGAACAGGAACACATCATGTGCTGTGGGATTGTCAACTACTGTGGTTGCCGGCAAAAGTTTTCAAAGTGGGCCGGGTACCGACCAGGGTCACGGACAGAGGCCCACCCTCCCCATCAATGTACCAACGCGTCGCGCGTGGCCGTCGAGTCAGAAAAACATCACCACCTTTGCAATGGCTTCAGAGGCCCCCTCTACACCACCCAGTCAGCGTTTCAAGAACCCTGATCTTACTCGCGATGAGCGGCTTCAAGTTCAAACCCTCCGCAATCTTGGCCTTTCATACGAGCAAATCGTTACACAACTTGGCCTTACTTACAACCAAGTTGGACATGCTTGCCGCGCTCCAAATATCACACCAAAGAAGCGCTCTGGTCGCCCTGGCCTTCTCAACCCTGAACAGGTCGAAGAGCTGATTGCCTTTGTTACCTCCTCAAAAGCGTCTCGCCGAATGCCTTACTCGAGGATCCCTCTTGCTCTTGGGTGGGACTGTTCGGAGTACGCTATCCGCTACGCCCTTCGCAACGCTGGCTTCAAACGCTATGTTGCATTTCGAAAGCCCCCGATTACCGAGAAGAACCGACAACTCCGCCTTGACAACGCTCTCGAGCGTGTACACTGGCCTCTCGAGCGATACCACGATATCCTCTGGACCGACGAGACCTGGGTGACTGCCGGTACCCATCGAAAGGTCTGGGTCACGCGCCGCAAAGACGAGGCATACGACCCGACTTGTATCGTTGAGCGTGAATAACGGCCAAGGGGATGGATGTTTTGGGGTTCATATTCAGCAAAACATGGCAAAGGGCCTGCTCTTTTCTGGGAGAAGGAATGGGGATCGATAACTGGGGAGAAGTACGCGGAGAAAGTCGTCCCTCTTGTTGATGGATGGTTTCGGCTTCATCCAGGCCAGGTATTCATGCACGACAATGCCTCTCCTCATACTGCCCAAATCACTTGCGAAGAGCTAGTAGCTCGAGGGATTTCTATTTATTCGCATCCTCCCTATAGCCCTGATCTAAATCCGATCGAGGATGCGTGGAACTGGATGAAGGATTACATTGCAGTCAACTACCCGGCAAAGATGTCGTCTGACCAACTACGGGAAGCAGTAAATACTGCATGGGAAGCAGTCCCTGAGGAATTCCTTAGAGAGCGTGTAGATACAATGCCTCTACGGCAACAAGCTGTTATTGATACCAATGGAATGCATATTCCTTTCTAACTTGACGGCCACGCGCGACGCGTTGGTACATTGATGGGAAGGGTGGGCCTCTGTCCGTGACCCTGGTCGGTACCCGGCCCACTTTGAAAACTTTTGCCGGCAACCACAGTAGACCAAGTCGGGATGACTGCACCACCATTATGGCCGAGGTATATTTCCCACGGTCTGCAAGCGGCAACCTACCTATCTTACCCGATTTCCACACGGATTGCCCTTAACGACGTTGCTCCAAACTGCGAGCATTGCGCTGCGCAACCCAGCTCTTCGTTGCGATCCCCGGCCCCTCCGTTGCTGGTCCTCAACTTTTAGATGCTGGCCCTGCAACACCAGTGGCACTACAGACCAGCACGCTTCGCAAGGCCAACACCATGCCGCGCTGTGACCGCAGGTAGCCCTCGCATGGCCTCGCGAGCCTCGGACTCTCCGTCATCCCGTGTGTGTAGCTGGTCGGTACCGGCCGCTAAATCCGACCACATCACACAACACTACATCCTAACGTGGTCCAGCACTTCATATCCGCGGACATGGCCATCTTCATGATTTGAACCCGACACGCTACACAGGCGTCTCAGCCGTCTGTCTTCCGCGAGAAGTACACGAGATCTGCATGCGGAAGTGTCAGGAGTGTCTCGCCCAGCAAGGGCAGAACCGCCGGGAACGTCGAAACAACGCAGCCTGAGTTCAATTGAAGGGACTACTTCAATTGGAAACTGGGCTCTGCCGTCGCCGGCCACGGGGCTGACTGAGTGGTCCAGGGAGCCATTCCAAGGCTGGGGATCTCGGGCCATGCTAAGATGTGTGATGGCAATCCCCCCAAGGCGCCCCATGGAGCAAAGAAGTCTATTCAAGCAGCCGCTTTGACTCGAGGTCAGAAAACTGTCAGACTTGTCGAGTGTTCTGTTAGGACTCGTGCTGGACCGGACGCACACTGGCGCATCTCCATCGGCGATTCCATCCAACAAGAGCACCTTTGGGCTGGCGATGTCGGGAGCAAACGCGATCAGCAAGCGCAATGGGAAAGCAGCGACACAGAGTCCCCGCTCCCCAGAAAAAAAATGGTCATTGATGCAATCATCAAAAGAATTTGTCAATGCATGAGTGACATATTATGACAAGAGTGGGATTCGAACCCACGCCCTTTCGGACTGCGAATCCAGATTCGAGACCTGAACACAGCGCCTTAGACCGCTCGGCCATCTTGCCGTTTTTGTTGATGTTGTGTTTCACCGGACTAGTTAATAAGTAGGCACAGCCGGACACCCTGCGGCCAGGACAGCGTTCGCTTTTCCACCTGTCTCCCGTCGTTTCCAGACTTCCATGCTCATCATCTCTGACAAGTGACAAGAACTGGAAGCCATTGAGCCTGCACTGGCATTCATACATCTTAAAGGTGCCCAACATGATTCATTCGCTGAGTATCCTTCTCCGAGCTCACCCTCACACCTACCGACAACCACTCCCGTCATTTGCCCCAAGCCCCTGATGCTGCAACATTAGTAGAGTAATTCGAGTTCCCAGCTCCAAATGTGGCAACGACATGAACTGCTAAGCACTCGATGGCTAGCATGGAGACATGTACCTCATTTGCAACTTACAACTCAAGTTTATATCCACGACGCTGGTTGACAGGTCTCTTTCAACGTCTCTGCTTCCCATCCATGTTCCACTTCAGCTTTTTTTGTTCTCATCCTACCCCTCACACCTTGACTATCAGGTTGTTACTCATCTGCCGCTTAGATACTACCAAGTCAGACGGCTTCTTGTCCTTGACCGGCCATTGATCCATGAAGTCACAGCCAGAAGTCTGGGGCATGGACAAGGTCAACATGGCACCATGCAATGAAAGGGACATGGCCAGAACACGAAAACACATCGAGCAGGCTGGGTGCTATGACATTACGCCATGCTCACAAATAACCATGAAGCGCTAGGGCAGCTTTATTAGGTACCCAGTAACAGAAAAAGGCTGCTCATAACCAATGCTTGAACTCCCCACCGTGGAAACCATAACCAGTTTCCGTCCCTTCTCCCCTGGAAGTCACACACCGCTCCTCAACCACCCCTCCCCCCCACCATCCCCCGCTACATCCCCCTCCCAAAAAGTCTACCCGAAAGCCGACGACAGATTCGGCGTCGGCGTCTGGCTCCGCGACCTACTCCTCCACCGAGCAAGTCTCGACCTCGACGACGGCCGCCGCCGCCGCCAGAACCACCTCCTCCAGAACCACCTCCTCCAGCGGCTTTGCCTCGGTTCTTGGTCCCAGCCCCGATCCCGAAGGCCTCCTCTCATCCAGGCCCAGTCCATTCCATCATCAGCCTCCTCGCCGCCCTGGCTCCCGTCCTCCGCACCGCTCCGCCGAACCGCGCCCGTATGATCCTCCCCACTGCCCTGCCGACTTCCACCGCCGCGCTCTTCACTTCCACCGCCTGCAGATACCCCGCAGGCCCGACAGCACTACCCGGAAGGAGGGAGAGGAGTGGCAGCAGAAGGAGAAGAGGGGCCGCCTGGGGAGTTGCTCGGCGACCCGGGCCCGAATCTAGATCTGGATTCGGATCCCGGTACTGTTCTGGGTTCGGGTCTGGTTCCGGGTCCAACTCCAGGCCTATATCCGTCTCCGGACAAGGGTCTATATCCGTCTCCAGCCCCGGATCTATATCCATCTCCATAACCGGGTCTATATGAATCTCCATAACCGGGTCTGTATGAATCTCCATACCCGAGTCTATATGAATCTCCATACCCGGGTCTATCTCCCTCCGACGGCCTAGGAAGGGGTCTATACTCAGGTCTAGGACCGGTCGAAGCTTGAAAGGGCGCCGACGGGTACGGAGTAGTGGGCCGACCAATCTCCCACCCCCTGCCGCGACCGGTGCCGCCCGCGCCTTTCCCGTCATCCTCATCAATGCCACTGAAGCGAACACGGGGGCGGCGAGCCAGAGCCGACGGCTGCTGGTTGGCTGAGGGCGACGGAGTCAGGCGCGCCCTGTTCTGGTAGTCCGACGAATACGACGACGACGGAAGCGGCGGCACGGGCGGAGGTGGGGGGGAACTCGTCAGCTGCGTCAGCGTGGGCTGGTGCGCTTGCGGCGTCGAGGAGCCCGAGGACAGCCCCACTGATCCGGTTGAGCTGCGGCGCAGACTGCTGGCGGGCCTCACGGGCCGCTGCTGCTGCTGCTGGGCGCCGCTTGGCGACCGTACGAGGGAGGGCACGCTGGCACCGAACGGGACCGGTGTGTGCTGATGCCCGGGGCTCGGGGTTTGGACCTCTTGCAGGCGGTCGGACGGGTAGTGGTATACTGGCTGACCGGGACTGACCTGGAAGGTTGAGCCATATCTGTTGTACTGCGGGTTGGGGTTTATGTTCGACGGTGAGGTGGTGTTTCTGTTGTACGTTGGGGTGGTGTTCCTGTTGTATGTTGGGGTGGAATTCCTGCTGTACGTTGGGGTGGAATTTCTGGTGGATGGCTCGTTCGAGTTCGTGTTGGACGGCTCATTGGAGGTCGTGTTGGACGGCTCGTTGGGGTTCCTGTTTGACGGCGGGTTGAGTTTCTTCTTGTCAGCCGGCGTGACGAAACTCCTGGCAGCCGCCGCGGTGGGGGACACCACCGCGGGTGCTGAGGGAGACGGTATGCCCGGGGTTGCTGGGGCGGGAGCCTCTCGGCCCAGGACACGGACGCGGAATTCATCAAGCCGTTCGCGCCATTTGCCTTTCGCCATGGTGGCGGGTGCTGTCGTTTCGAGACTGCGGGCGATGAAGCAATAGAGGCGTAGAGATGTTGTACTACTGAGTGACGGACGGGGGGCTTAGGGAATGCTGCAGCATTTGGTGACCTCTAACGATCGAAGAGAGAATGATGTAATGCATACCCCGAGAATGAAAACGAAAGGTTAATGGAAACTTCGTGGCTACAGGTGAGAGAAAGTGTGAGCAACAAGCAGAGCATGTTGGCGGAGCCGACAGTAGCCAGGGTCAGAACGTCGTCCAGGCCAAGTGGAGGGACTTCTTACCAGATCAAAGCCACGATATCGGGAAGGGGTAGGTGCTGAGTCCATACTGAGCGGCAGTATTGCTGCTTCCAAACCAGCATGCTTTGTTTGGCGGGTACCTGTGGCTGCCTTCTAGGAAGCGCGCTGGAGGTTGAACACGGAAGGATGGGAACGGCGTTCAGACAGAGTTCTGAGCACACTGGACTGCCAGTCTGGACAGCGTCCGCCACCTGGAAGAAAACGCCAAATACCAACTCCAATGAATCCGTTAGATACAGTCTCAATGGGGAGAAAACTCCAGTGATCCATGAGTCTTTGCACAAGTCGAGAGGGGTAGAATGTCTCTCACAACACCATCAAGTCCCGCAACACCTCGTCCCGTCGTCTGCCATATGCCTAAAAAGAACCCTTCCCCTCCCCTCCCTTCCCAAACCCATCCAAAATTCCACCTAGACCTCAATGATCACCGCCTCACCAATAACCGCCGGCACACCATCCCCCCAGATCCCCACAATCGAGAGCAGGAACCCCAGCCCAGCCAGCGAGCCCCGGACAATCTGCTTCTTGAGGAAAGCCTCGACCTCCGCCCTCACCTCCTCGCCATTCACATCAGCAGCAGTGTCCTCGCTGCCCTCCATCTCCTCCCCAGCAGCGCTGCCCTCGCTGTGCGCATCCGACCCGATGCCGGCGGCGCCCAGCACCTCGTAGCTGGCCTCCATCCTCGCCCTGGCCGCGGCGGCGGCGGCGCGCCTCTCCCTCTCTTTTTGCTTGTCAGAGCTGGCAGTCGTGGCGGCAGGTGACGCCGGAGAAGGACGCGCCGGGCCGAGGGCGAGGAGGTACGGGGCGACGAGATCGGAGGCGGCGAGCTGCGAGCCGAGGACGAGGGCCGAGGCGTAGAGCAGGTAGGGGTGGCGGAGCGGGCGCGGGGAGAGGACGTAGGCGAGGGCAAAGGCCGAGGAGGAGACGGCGGCGAGCGAGCGCAGGTGGCGCGCCGCCGTGGCGGCCAGGGCTTCGAAGGCGCGGGCGGCGGTGCTGGCCGAGGGGAGGGTCAGGAGCGCGGGGATGGTGAGGGAGGAGAGCGTATAGGAGACGCCCTGGGCGGGATTGGTTAGTTCATTTTTCTGTCGAGGTGTGTTGTGGGAGATGAAACAAGCATCATGCAGTGACAGTGGAAACCAGGAAGCGCGGGGAACAACTGCACCCAGACCGCAGGGACGTACCGTCAGGACACCGAGCGACACGGTGCCGACAAACTTGAGCACCGAAACGCTCCTCGCAGCCATGGTTGCAATCCTCTGTCGTCGCGACCGATGATCCACGCAGGCGTTGAGGAAACGGGAAAGCGAGATGGATACTACCTGTCAGGGCGATTGGGTGTAGTTGGCAGTCAAGCGTGACGATAGATGGTTGTGGTCGGGTGGGAGCAGGCGGAAAGGAGGGGCCGGGTGCCTTGGCGCCCGGAGCTTGGGCGCCTAGCGTGGCCCTATCGAGCGTCATCATGCAGGGGTGTCATGAGCACACGGGCACTGAGCCCTAACCCTTGCCTTTGCAAAATTGTCTGCTTTGCGCGATCCAACTTTTCGTTTCGTTTTTGGGACTCCTGGCAGCCGCATCTTGTTTCTCAGAGTACTATGCTAGGGGAGTGATGCTTGCTGGGGCGCCTTGAACGTCGAGACTCAACATAGTGTCGGAAGCCATGGGTTGAGAATCAGACGTGCCGTGGTCACGTCGTTATGGCCGGCTCTCAACGAGCCTGTCCATCCGGGTATGTGAGACTCCAACTGTTCGGTTGACGGGGAAGCGTTCTTAAGTTTACAGACTCTAAACTCCAAAGCCCAAGAACTCCCTACTCAACGCTCAGCCGCCAAAGACCATCGCCCAGAAAATGCGCCTCCTCCATGACCGGCCCCTTCCCCTTGTCCTTGATCTCCTTAGTCCCCATGACCAGCAACCCCACCGCGCAAGCCTCCTCCTTGCCCTCGGCCAGGACCACGACCGGCTCCCCCTTCTCGAGCTCCCTGCTCCAATGCCCCTCCTCGTCCGCACCCTCATTCGGCACTTTCACCCCGTCCTCCTCCTCCTCGTCGTCATTATCTTCTTCCCCCTCCCCCTTCGCAGCAGCCACCTCCTCCTTCTCCTTATCACTACCGCCACCAGCAGCAGCAGCCGCCGCCTGAGCATCCCGATCCACCGGAATCGGCAGCCGCCCGCCCTT